AAAGAAAATATGATTTGTGTAGCAAAATGTCAACAAAATGGTTATTTAACATCCATATTAAATACTTATTCATCATAATGTACTGTACTGCAAAAACAACAACAGATGGCTCTGATAATGAGAAATTCTTTAGATAAAAAATTATGAAAGTTTTTGAAAAATAAAAGTGATTGAATTTTGTAAGGCTTAATGGACCTTTCAAACAAATAGGTACAACAGTTTAAAATGTATGTATAGTGTCATGTCACATAACATAACTTGTTATAAAATAATATAATCTTATTTTCACAAAAGGATTGCAATCGCTTGTAATTATACAATTAACAATATTAAAGAAACTCCACTGAGGTTTATGAGCCTAAAAACATAACATTCTAATTTTCACATAAATAAACATGAGCACTTTAAACAGAAATATAAATTAAAGATAACTAAAAAATATACAAGAAATTCATTAAAAGTTGTATGTTTGTGCTATTCTCAGTCCGATTTGATTGAAAAGCGTTTAAACACTTTTAAATTTTGGGTCATTTTTCACTTTAATATTAATTATTCTGGAAAAAGGGAGCGAGCTAATGATCTGAAATTTGGCTTATAAGTTATTAGTATAGATCTACATCTCAAAAAAATTATTTCTAGTCCCGGCATGTCAAGAATCCTCCGTGGAGTACCTTTAACATGTAATATTATGTACCATATACATTCAATCAGAATTTCATGTAAGAAACACATTCATTCAGAATTTCATGTAACAAACACATTCATTCAGAATTTCATGTAACAAACACATTCAATCAGAATTTCATGTAAGAAACATATTCAATCAGAATTTCATGTAAGAAACATATTCAATCAGAATTTCATGTTACAAACACATTCAATCAGAATTTCATGTAAGAAACACATTCAATCAGAATTTCATGTAACAAACACATTCAATCAGAATTTCATGTAACAAACACATTCAATCAGAATTTCATGTAACAAACACATTCAATCAGAATTTCATGTTACAAACACATTCAATCAGAATTTCATGTAACAAACACATTCAATCAGAATTTCATGTAAGAAACACATTCAATCAGAATTTCATGTAAGAAACACATTCAATCAGAATTTCATGTAACAAACACATTCAATCAGAATTTCATGTAAAAACATATTCAATCAGAATTTCATGTAAGAAACATATTCAATCAGAATTTCATGTTACAAACACATTCAATCAGAATTTCATGTAAGAAACACATTCAATCAGAATTTCATGTAAGAAACATATTCAATCAGAATTTCATGTTACAAACACATTCAATCAGAATTTCATGTAAGAAACACATTCAATCAGAATTTCATGTAAGAAACACATTCAATCAGAATTTCATGTAAGAAACATATTCAATCAGAATTTCATGTAAGAAACATATTCAATCAGAATTTCATGCAACAATCAGACATACGTAACATGTTTATATATACCATAATTATCTTCACCTTGGTATATACTTATATCAGCAAAAATATAAAAAATAAAAATTTAAAATTCAAAAAATGTAATTATATTTTAAATGTCTTTAAAAACATTTAAAACTTTATTTTTAAAAAACTGAAACCCCGAGGTACTGATTCCGGTAACTTACATTCATCACGAATGAAGTGTAAACATGACAAGTATCCATTGGTTACCCAGGACACAGGATAACAACATAACTTTTGAGTAATTTCATGTTAACAATACATGTAAACTAACATATCATAATTATGTTAATATCAGCAGAAATATAACTTATGTATACCTATAATTTTATAATGTCTTCCAGGTACTAAATATGACATATTGTTTAATTAGAAAATTCTAATTCAACCATTACATACATTATCTATGAACCTAAATATCTGATAGTATATAAACTTATAAAACATGGCTGTCTGTGTGAGAGAGCATATTGGCATCCGAGAGCTGGTATATATCCCTCAGGTATAGCTGAGACTTATACATAGGGGCTCTGATTTTACATAAACTTATAAAACATGGCTGTCTGTGTGAAATAGCATATTGGCATCCGAGAGCTGGTATATATCCCTCAGGTATAGCTGAGACTTGTATATATCCCTGAGGGGCAACTGAGAACTGACTTATGCCGAGAACTGGAATACATCCCACCACTGATGGTAGTCAAGAACTAATATATAAATATCCCCCAAGGGGCTGTCTAGAACAGGTATATATCCCTACGGTTTAGCTGAGAACAGGTATCTATCCCTGAGGGGGAAAACCAAGAAATGGTACATATCAACCAAGGAGTAGAGAACGTGTATATACATTCGAAAGGCAGCTTAGAACTGGTATATATTACCAAAGTGGAGCTGGGAACTGGTATATATCTCCGAGGTGTAACAGAGATGACAATAAAGCCGTTTGAAGAGTCAATAAGCACTTGCGCCTGACAGCCATGTATATTTTACCTCAATTCTTCATTTCTATTGAAGATATGTATGAACGTATAATGAAATCATATTTACATCTATGGTGTATAACATGTTTTGATTAAAATTATGTGAAACTGACTATGTAGTTACAGTATATACTAGAACATCTAAATTTACAGCAAAGTATATCTATACTTGCCTAGTGTTTAAAATTATCATTCTAACACAAACAGCAAAAAGTTCACTTAAAGGAGCTCCACTGAAGTCCAAAAGCCAAACAATAAAGAATTAAAAATAGAAAATCCAAAACAAATTAATCGGGATATTCAATACGGAAAAAATGATACTTAAGAAATATACTCGGAATAAAATCGATATTAATGAAGTGTAATTTAGCTATAAACATTTAAACACTGATGATAGGACAGTGTGCTTGACTATCCACAGTGATGGATAATGCAGAATTATCTAACTTTGAAAAGGGAAATAATTCTGTCAAATATCTATGTTACGGACAGTCACTAGACTTCCTATTACTCTCATATATGTGTGAAGTTCTAATCCACGCTTATACGTAAACACTTAACCAAGATTCTTTAAGTCGTAAAAGGGGCATAAAAATGAGGAAAAAAATATCAGAGGTATGGAATTTGTGTTAGTCATGTTAAAGAACAAGAATGTCAATTGAAATTTTCATTCCGTAGTGTTTTAGATACCAACTTGCACACATAAAAGTAACCTAAACTTGACGCCAATGCCGTACATACTATTATAGCATGATCTATTCATTAAAAAGCCGAGCTAAAATGATTACTAGTGTTTTGGAAAAACAAAGTTAGCAAATAATATGAAATTTTGCATACAAATTTTATACATGAAAAATTATATATCTTCTTCAAATAGTATGAAACCTCAACAACATAACTCCCGTCCTATCATGTCAAGAAATTAAGAAAATATTATCCTCAGTGGAGACCCTTTAGCGATACTGTTTGGATAAAACTGACTAACAACATAAAATATACATATATGGTATTTTTCTATACCAAACACTTGTCCTATATATCATATAACTGGTATTTATATATACCATTCCACTGTCCTAAATGCCATATAACTGGTATTCATTTATACCATTCCCTTGTCCTTTATATCATATAACTGGTATTAATATATACCATTCTCTTGTCATATTATATCATATAACTGGTATTCATATATACCATTCCCATGACCTATATATTATATATCTGGTATTCATATTTACCATTCCCTTGTCTTATATATCATATAACTGGTATTCATATATATCATTCCCATGACCTATATATCATATAACTGGTATTCATATTTACCATTCCCTTGTCTTATATATCATATAACTGGTATTCATATATACATGTACCATTCCCATGACCTATATATCATATTACTGGTATTCATATTTACCATTCCCTTGTCTTATATATCATATAACTGGTATTCATATATACCATTCCCATGACCTATATATCATATAACTGGTATTCATATTTACCATTCCCTTGTCTTATATATCATATAACTGGTATTCATATAAACATGTACCATTCCCATGACCTATATATCATATTACTGGTATTCATATATACCATTCCCTTGTCCTATATATCATATAACTGGTATTGATATATACCATTCCCTTGTCCTATATACCATATAACAGGTATTCATATATACCATTCTCTTAATATATTTCTCATATAACTGGTATTGATATATACCATTCTCTTGACATATTTCTCATATAACTGATAATTACATATATCATTCCCTTATCCTATCATATATTATATAATATACCTGGTATTTGATGTTATATTTATCTTTTACTTGTTCTGACCTTGTACATTAAATTTCTGTTTTATGATATTTCCATTCAAATTACTTATTATATTTACTTATTCATTAATTTATTTACTTGCTAATCTATCTATCTATTTATGTATCTATAATTCAAAGAACCTATTACTTTTTCAAATTATACTTTTCACAAACTATCACTGATCTTTAAAAAAAACAGTTACCTTAATTTTCTTTATATTTCACTGCATTTCTTTCAATTATTTATTTAAATACACATTTGAATATTACTTTCATCAATTTCAATATTACTACAATGATCAGAAATTGATACTTAATGAACTGTTTTTGATGATTGTTATCTATCACATTGTATTACATTCATTATTTAACATATCAATATGTAAGTTGAGTATTATATTTATTCATTTTTGCTGATAATGTTTATTTTAATAATTATGTCTTTTATAATGAAATAATTCAAATTAAGCACTATGTTAACTAAATGTATTCTCTCTCACTATGTTAAAAATTCAGATCATTTTTTTTTTGTTGAAAATGAAAATCCAAGTCATCATCTCTTTTATTACGCAATAATTTGGTTTTAACACTATATGTTTACTTCATGTATACTAAATGGACACTTTTATCACTTTTTTGTTGAAAATTCAAACAAATCACCATAATCATATTTAACATGAAATAACTGATTCTTATCCTTTACATACTGTCTAGCATCATTTCCCTTCCCTCCTATAAATCCTTGTAATTCAGATGTATAAATATCATCATTAAACTCCTCACCATCTCCTGTTATATAACAGTCCCATACAATCAGATCTACAGTATGAGGAATACTAGGAAGACTATCAACAAACTTCTGCCATGTTGTCAAACTCATTATGACACCCTTAAGCTTAATGTTCTTTAAACTCTTCATCTCTAAAGGTGACTGTATTATATTGTCAGTTAACCTACACTTCAATAACTCAAACTTACTGAGATTGTGTAACAATGGTAATACTGTTAACGTACAATACAATAACTTAAGCTTACTGAGATTGTGTAACAATGGTAATACTGTGTCAAGTCTATTTGTTATGTTGGTATGATATAATTGAGATTTATTGTTATATTCTCCATACAAAAAAAGTTCTTTTAATTTGTAAGATTTTGTAATAATATCAAATATTTTCTCATAATTACTATCTTTCAATTCTATAAATGTAAATATTTCAAGATTTGTAGTACCAGCATCTATCACATTAACGGCAATAAACAAACAAAGGTACTGAAGTTGTTGATGTTTTGATAAATTAACATCAGGCTGCTTCCTACACTCACAGTTAACTTTATCAAGATGTATTTGTTCAAGATGACTGGTTCCCTCAAGAAAATTACAAAATGTAGTAGTATCATCATGACTCATTGTTAAACTACTCATACTACTCATACGTATTGCTACAAGATTGATCATACTAGGTAGGTAACTAACAACTGTTTTATACACTGGGTAATACTTGTCAGTGTTAGAGACATCATCAAGAGACAGAGATTTTAATGTTGAAGTGTTTACTTTAATTGTCTCAGAAACACAATTGTTAATCTCATCAATCGGTGCACAATTAAATCTTATCACAATTTTTTCAAGATGATGAAACATTGGTAAATATTTTGTAAATTTAACATATTTTGTGTTGATGTCTACCGTAATAGACAGAACAGAGTCAGGAACAATTTGATGCTGATCAATACCTGAACAAACAATATCACAATACTGATACCATTCAGTAATGACCAAATCTCCTATATAAAATACAGTATTACTTCCTATACTACATGCTGCATTGAATTCTTCAATTGAGTCAAACATAAGCTTTTGAATATCAGCAATATATCTAGTTTCAGAATCAATAAAAAATAAATAGTCACTATAATATATTGTTCTCCTGTATTCCTGAACACGAGAGTCTTCCGACACAGTATCATATATGTATTTTGATACATGTGTTGCTAATCTTGGTTCTAGACCAGACAGCATAATAATTACATTTGGACTGCTCTAATATGTCATTTACTGTTGAACATTTCTGAAAAAACCTCATTTTTTAAAATTGTTGGCTAATTCAACATTCCTGTACTATCTGAACAAACCAATTTTTGCATTGAAATTGATGCCAATATTCACTGCAGCCAGAAATTCTTGCATTGAACTTGTGAATAAAAGAGAACAATGAGCTTGGGGGTTCTGCTACAGATAAACTTGGACATTCATCTTCTGTAATTATTCCAAGTTTCAAGCAAGTTTCTCTTACTTCATCTGATATTTCTAGTTCATCAAACATACAAATGTCAAAGGTCAAAGATTTATCCTTCGGACAATTAAATAGTGTCTCATAAGCCAACTGTGACACTTCATAAATGAAATGGCGATTTAATCTTAATTTGGTTTTATCGGCTAAATATTTAGGAAGATCTACTTTCTGGGTCCCCTTCATGAGTCGAGTTGTTCCTGTAGTTTTCATGTCATTCCATGTAAAGAATAATTCTAACATACCGGTGTAGATGGCACATCTTGAAGTTTTATCGAGTTTACCATCAAACCATAGACATAGACATATCAGTTGTTGTAGCATAATTGGTACCTTTTTTAAACTTTCAAGAGACTTTTCTTCTAGATTTTCCCTACATTCTCTAGCTTCTTTATTGGCATGTCTGCTTACATTTAATTGTGAGACTGTTCTATCTACCATTTCCCTTTCACATCTAAAATCAAACCCTTTCAGATTCAGCGACTGTTCAATCTCCACATCACTTGATCTTAATGCATGAAATTTCCATGGCCGCGAAGTAGTTACTATTGTGTATTCCTTAAAGATGCTATGCTGTGGTACATTTTCAGAGGACCATTCATCTAAGCCATCAAGCAAAATCATAACCCTAGAGGATTCCTCTTCAAGAAGTGTGTTTAACATTTTCATTTGATAACGTTTTAGAAGCATTTCATCAATGCCAATGTTTTGATTATACTGTCTAAGAGGGATGTAAAATACAAAATCAAATTTCTTCATCTCTTTTACACCATTGAATTTCAGTTCATAACTTTTGCTATCATATTCAGAGTCATAAATGTTAAATTTAAAGTCCGTTAAGATCTCATCAGAGTCATCATTGTGAGATTCGGAGTGTATTAAGCCATCACTGTTATCCTGAATGTCATCACTGTCACTTCCATTTTTCTTAATGCCACCCAAATGTTTTTCATCTCCTCGTTTCTCATTAACAACTCCATGTGTCTTACTGCCCTCTTCGTTTTCAATGTCTCCACTATGTGTCCCCTTTACCTCTTCATTTACAATGTCACTTCCTCTTTTTTCACGTTCTTCAAAATCACCTCTGTGTTTCTCTTTGCCATCTTCAATTTCATTGACACCTCCAGCTCCATGTGTTTCATGTCCTTCGTTATCACCTCCTTGTTCTTCAGTGCCACTTTCATTTTCATTGACACCTCCTTGATTTTCATCGTCACCTTCATGTTTTTCACTGTCACCTTCATTTTCATTGCCAGTTTCATGTTTTTCACCATCACCTCCATGTTTTTCACCATCACCTTCAGGTTTACCACTGCCATCTTTATTTTCATTGCCAGCTCCATGTTTTTCACCATCACCTTCAGGTTTACTACTGCCACCTTCATTTGCATTGCCAGCTCCACGTTTTTCACCATCACCTCCATGTGTTTCACTGTCACCTTCAGGTTTACCACTGCCATCTTCATTGTCAGCTTCATGTTCCTCACTGTGTGCCAAACACCAACAGTTAACCAGATATTTACAAAAACTAGTTTTTCCTGACCCTGCATCTCCTAGAAGATATACAGAATTTTGGGGGACTCCGTCCTTTGTGAAGATTTCGGACATTGATTTAACCTCCACCTCCTCTGTCTCACCTTTTTCTCTTTTTATGTCCTTGGTTATTGTGGGTCTAATATAAATCTCACTAAAGCTACATTTTTCACTTTTTGGTTGCAAAGGTGTTGTAGGAACTTGCAGCAGGGTTTTGTGATACTGTTCTATCAGCTTTTCTCGCCATTCTGTAATTTAAATGATAATATGACATCAAATTATAAAGGACAAATCAATGAGTAAATGATACAAAAAAAAGTATAGGCCTGGACAGATTATCACAGAAATATATAAAAGAAATAGAACACATCACAGGGGGCCTCATTGAAATGTAAAGACAAATCAGTTAGTCAACAAATATTAAACTGACTGAAGCTAGTTAATGACAACAATCAAAAAATTAAGCCTTTTCATGTCCTATACAAAATACCTAATTTTTCCCTTTCATATTCTATGTAACATAACTGATTTACCTTTTTCATATTCTATATAACATGCCTGATCTCGCCTTATCATATTCTATATATCATACCTGATTTAGCCTTTTCATATCCTATATAACATACATTATTTAGCCTTTTCATTATTATTTAAATCACATACCTGATTTAGGTTTTACATATTCTTTATAACATACCTGATTTAGCTTTTACATATTCTATATAACATATCTGATTTAGCTTTTTCATATTATATATAACAAACCTGATCTCGCCTTATCATATTCTATATATCATACTTGATTTAGCCTTTTCATTATTATTTAAATCACATACCTGATTTAGCGTTTTCATATTCTATATATCATACCTGATATCGTCTTTTTCATATTATATATAACAAACCTGATTTAGTCCTTTCATTTTATTCTATATAACATACCTGATTTAGTCTTTTCATATTCTATATAACATATTTGATTTTGCCTTTTCATATTCTATATAACATACCTGATTTAGTCTTTTCGTATTCTATATATATAACATACCTGATTTGGCCTTTTCGTATTAGATATACAATACCTTATGTAGCCTTTTTTATATTCTATATAACATATCTGATTTAGTCTTTTCATATTCTGTATAACATACCTGATTTAGTCTTTTCATATTCTATATAACATACCTGATTTAGTCTTTTCATATTCTGTATAACATACCTGATTTGGCCTTTTCATATTCTGTATAACATACCTGATTTGGCCTTTTTATATTATATATAACATACCTGATTTAGTCTTTTCATATTCTGTATAACATACCTGATTTGGCCTTTTTATATTATATATAACATACAAAATTTAGGCTTTTCATATTCTTTATAACATACCTGATTTAGTCTTTTCATATTGTATATAACATACCTGATATAAGCTTTTCATCTTTTATATAACATGCATGATTTAGCCTTTTTCATATTCTATATAACATACCTTCTTTATTAGCTTTTTCATATTCTATATACATTTGTCACATACCTGATTTTGCCTTTTCATACTCTAACTGTTTTTGTTGAGGAGAATCTTCTACCTTGAGTCTTTTTATCTCCTACAACATAAAAAGATAATGCAAATAACTATGTTTTATTCAGTTTTTTTTTTAAACTATCTATTGTATATTGTTATATACATGTATTGGTATTTCCAGTTAGTCTCTTTCACATACAGTGAATATATCTAGAAAAACATCAAATCAAATTTCAGTCAATGAAAATCATTTTATTGCACAGGATGATTTCTCTACTAAGAATTTTTCATTTTGACATTTTTGGTGCAATCATACATGAACATAATTTTACTATTTATGATAAATACTTGGGCTGTATCACCATATTTAAGTTTTATAAAATATTTTCAGTACTTTTCGAGTTATCTCAAATATTGTTCTACTTGCCATATTTTTGTCAATTTATTTGCTAATAAGAACTAATTTTTTCACATAATAGGAAGTAAAAAGACTGCCATCTAGCCATATCAGTTTCATAAAAACTTTAAACATATTTTGCGATATCATAGAATTCAGTTTTGTGGATGGATGTTTGGAGATACGGAAACCTTAAGTATCCTGCAGTTAAACTGTTAGCGGTCAGAGGCAGCACATCTCTAAGATGAACACACAGTAAGCATTAAGGTAGAGCCATCCAGGACATTAGACACACCACCAACCAGACCTCAAGCACCTCCTGGTTTACCAAGTTCAGATTACAAGTTTATATGATTAATATACTTGCATCATAATTTTATAGATCTTTTAGGTATGTTCTGTCCTGCGAATTCTTAACATGTGATGGTTCAGGACAATATCAAGACCTTCGACCACGGAATCTGGGATTGTATCAAACATATGGGGAAATAAACTTGCTACTTTGGCTTGGATATTTGTAGTTATTTGTTGTCCTAAAATAATAATTGATAAATTATATCATATAATAATATGTCTTGGCTGTAAAATAAATTTAACTTAAGCTTGGAATTGGAAAAATTAATGATTCATTGAACCTAGTCCAGTATTAACTGTTTCCTTGAAATTTTACTTCATTTTTTTATTTACAATCTGGAGGCGAGTGCATATACCTGTATCAACCAGAAACAAACAGTTCTTTTAAAACCATGGTTGTGTGGAAAACACATACAAGTATCAACCAGAAACAAACAGTTCCCTTAAAACCATGGTTGTGTGGAAAACACATACAAGTATCAACCAGAAACAAACAGTTCTCTTAAAACCATGGATGTGTGGAATACATGTACGAGTATCAATCAGAAACAAACATTAGTTCTCTTAAAACCATGGTTGTGTGAAATACATGTACCAGTATCAACCAGAAACAAACAGTTCTCTTAAAACCATGGTTGTGTGGAATACATGTACCAGTATCAACCAGAAACATTTGTTGTATGCAAGGCATGCACCAGTATATAACTGGAAATAAACACTAGAAATGTTACGTTTACCTCATTTAGTTTGAATATCTGGGTTTCATGTTCTTCAGATTGTTTTTTAAGCTCCTCATATTCCTCATTAGTTGGAGCATCTTCAATTGATTTTAGAACTTTTTTCATTTCTTCCTTGATTTGTCCCAGAATTTCATCAAAGTCTACAGTAGTTATAATGAAGTCTTTCTTCTTTAGCTAATGAAAACATAACAATTCTTTTATATTTTCTTTCATAAAAATGTAGCTATGTGATTTTTATTTTATGCTTTTCAGTGGATTACTGATTTATCCGTGAAAATTATATTTGGTAATTTCACAGTGAAAATTATCAAAATATAATTTCACTCTTTTCAATGACGAAACTACTTTTTTAAGATTTTCCCCATGTGGTACCTCAATTTTATTTTTGCTGACAATTCTGACAATGTCAGGCTGTTTAAAGAAAAAGCAAAACTGAAATTGATAAATAACTTAAATGTCAAAAGTAATAAAAAGAAGAAAACTTACTTCTATTCATTCAAATTCATGAAATTCCAATCACCAAATTTCGTTTTTTTGTTTCATTTTGACAGTCTCAAAAATACATTCCTTCCCCATGCAAAACTGCTCTTGATGACATTTGGGCATATTAAAGTATCCTACGAGCAATAACTGCCGTATGCTTTAATGAAAAATTGAAAAGCATTGACAGCCATAACTCGAAGAATAAGTTAAATCAACCCAGCGTTCTTGAGCAGGTTTCCAAGTTTTCCATTTTCCTAGCTCCTTTTCTGAATGTTTTCACATCTGTCAACACTTATTTTTTGTCTGTTACAATCCTCAAATAAGTTTCTTTCTTTTAAAAATGTGTATGACTAACAACTCCAAATTATATCCCTCTGAATCTTCACAATTATTTTCCTCCCATGAAATACACAACTTTAAAAAATGGCTGCCGCTTACAATTTACAAAGCCAGGTCTAATATAAATTCGCACTAAGTAACAGAAATATGGATGGATGGTTGGACTTTTTCTCCTACAAGAATTGTTTGTTTTTATTATCAAAACAAGCGATCATTCATATTTTTTTAATAAAATTAATAAATATCACCGTCATTTAATGTTGATTGGGCGACTTATTTTTCAGCTCAAGACTTCTTTTTTTAATGAGAAATTCCGAATAAATGGGGCTCTCAGTGGGGGAAACAGTTTTAATATTAACGTTAAAAATTATGGAAATTTCGTTTTAACTTGTTTTTAAGCATAAAATAAAAAGAAAATTTGTCTGTTTGTTGTGTAAGATGTAATTTTATTTCATCTCGTGAACTTTAAAAACAGTATTCTCACTCGTGGCTTCGCCACTCGTGAGAATACTGTTTTTAAAGCCCACTCGATGAAATAAAATTTCATCTTACACACAAACAAACAAATATCCTCTATATAACACTTACTATTCTATACAACAAATTATATATATGGTCAAAACATTAATTTAAAATGATCTCAATTGATCTTTTTTTAACTTATACATTTTCTGAGGATTTCTAAAATAGGTCTGTGGTAAAGTCATCTGATTGCCATACTTTTTTATCAATGTAAATGAATTTTAGGAAATTTTTATTCAACTTTGAAAAAAATGAAACCATTTTGAGAATTTTTTCTCGATTACCCTAAAATGTATCTTGAATTTAAAGATGTTCATAATATAAATAATTATAACTGAACAGTGAACTCTTTAAAGATTTCAAACTGATATCATAAGTTTATTACAAATATATATACTCTTACATCTTGAAGTTTCAATACAGCTTGTTGTGCAGCTGGTTGATGTACAAGTTCCTTATTATCTTGTAGAACTGCAATCATGTCATCTAAGTAAGTATTAGCCTCACTTTCTTCTAATTCCATGCTGCTAGAGTGGAAAATTTCATTTCTATACTGACGTACCTATTGAATGTAAAACAAAACTAAGTTCAACAGACACACATAATTTTACTGTGTTAAGCAATAAAGCTAAACTAAACTAGATGAGAATTAAAACTGTTAAGAAAGTATCCTAATTGTTTCAATCATGAATTACTGAACTTTCCACTGTAACAACAAGAGCTGGTTGAACCGGGTGATGCTCCCCGACTAGGTTTTGGACACAGAAAATTTTATCTTTTGTAGTTTCACAGTAATGTCCAAGACAAACTTCAAAGTGTGATAATTCCAAACTTAGGCAAAGCAGAGTTACTGTTCTTTGCACTGCACTTTACTCAATGAGATATATCAACCGACTTGCCCGTGACATGTTGTCTCAATATGTTGATCAATTCTGTGAAATAGTTGTAAAATCCGACTTCAAATAACAAAGTTATGGGCCGGACACAATTTTGCTGCAAGGTCATGCTTGACCTTAAAGGTAGGGGCCAAAAAGTTGCACGAGACACCTCGTCTTAATATGGTGATCATTTCTGTGAAACAGTTGTAAAATTCAACTTCAAATAACAAAGTTATGGGCTGGAAACGATTTTTCTTCAAGGTCATGCCGTGACCTTGACCTTCAAGGTAGCTACCAAAATGTTGCGGGCGACATGTTGTCTCAATATGGTGATCGTTTCTGTGAAATAGTTGTAAAATCTGACTTCAAATAACATAGTAATGGGCCGGACATGGTTTTGCTGCAAGGTCATGCTGTGACCTTGACCACCAATTAGAAGATGTTTCATGATAAATATTGAAGTTCTAGCTCTTTTGGTTTTTCAAAAGAACATTTTTACAAGTTTTTACTATACATATTAACGGGGAAAAGCAATGCCACCCCCACCCCCGACCCCGGGCAAATTTTAACCCCAGTACTTTTATTTGAACAAACTTTGTAGACGCTCATTAGAAGAAATTTCATGCTTAGTATCTAAACTCTAGATCTTTGGGTCTTTTAAATGAAGATTTTTTAAGTATTTACTATACATATACAAGGAAAATAAATGACCCCGAGACATGGCCAATTTTAACCCCGGGTCTTTATGTGAACCTTTGTAGACACCCATTAGAAGATGTTTCATGCGAAATATCTAAGCTCTAGCTCTTTGGTTTTTTTTTTGAAAATGATTTTTTAAAGTTTTTCCTATATACAAATAAGGAAAATTAATGACATCCACCCGTGGGGTCAATTTTGACCCCAGGGCTTTTCTTTGAACACACTTGGTAGACACTGACTATGTTTCATGCCAAATATTTAAGCTCTAGCTCTTTTGGTTTTTTAAGGAATATTTTTAAAGTTTTTTTCTTTCGGTTGCCATATCAATTAAATTCTTTGAACAATATTTAAAGTTGACTACCAAAGGAACATTTCTATGAAGTTTGGATAAAATTGGCTTAGCGATTTATGAGGAGATGTTGTTTAAAGTAAAAGTTTATAGGTGGACCGACGCCGAACGAAAAAGCGATCACAAAAACTCACCATGTCACTTTGTGACAGGTGAGCTTAAAAAAGTTTAGTTGAAATTATATACATTTACATAATACATGTAAATGGATACTGAAATGGTATTTTGATAAAAGATACATGTACATGTATGTATATTTTTACCGGATTCTATATGCATTTGATTGTAAAACAAAAACACAAATCATTTAGATAATAATGTACCTCATAAAAGTCAATATTAACAAACTACCTTCAATTAAAATGTTATCCATAATGTTTTTTAATCATGCCACGGATGCCCCCGCATGCAGCCAAAATTTCAGATGGTGCATTAATTATTTTTTTCATTTTAAGTTTAAAGCCCTTAAAACTTTTCAATGTTAACACAAACCATTTTCATACAATGTTCAAGGCACTGAAATTATTCAGTCTTAACCTTTTAAAAAATAGCGTATTGCATATTTGTAGCCAAAATAATGGCTAAAAATATGAGTGCTGAAACCGAAAGTTCAAAATTTTCCAACATTCAGGAAAGATAAGTTTGTCTAAAATCATAGAACCACGACCAAATTCAAACTTAAACTGCTTATTTCTAAGATGCTCTATATTATTTTCAAAGTGAAAGGGACATAACTCTGCCAAAAAATCATCAAACCATGACCGAATTCCAACTTGACCTGCCCATTCCTTTGACATATCCATATGTCAAATTTAAGTTGAATATGTAACAATGTTGGGTAGATAATAAACAGAAACTGTAAATTTCATATTATTTTCAAAGTAAAGGGGGCATAACTCTGCCAAAAATCATCGAACCATGACCAAATTCGAAATTGACATGTATTTTCTCATGACATATCCATATGTCAAGTTTGAGTTGAATGTGTTGTACCGTTGGGGAGGTAATGAACGGAAACTGAAAATTTCATATTATTTTCAAAGTAAAAGGGGCATAACTCTGCCAAAAATCATCGAACCATGACCAAATTTGAACTTGACCTGTATTTTCTCATGACATATCCATATGTCAAGTTTGAATTGAATGTGTTGTACCGTTGGGGAGGTAATGAACGGAAACTGAAAATTTCATATTATTTTCAAAGTAAAAGGGGCATAACTCTGCCAAAATCATCAAACCATGACCAAATTTGAACTTGACCTGTATTTTCTCATGACATATCCATATGTCAAGTTTGAGTTGAATGTATTGTACCGTTGGGGAGGTAATGAACGGAAACTGAAATTTCATATTATTTTCAAAGTAAAAGGGGCATTACTCTGCCAAAAATCATCGAACCATAACCAAGTTCGAACTTGACCTGTATTTTCTTATGACATATCCATATGTCAAATTTGAGTTGAATGTGTGCAACCGTTCTTAAGATAATGAACGGAAACTGATGATGACGGAATGACAGAATGACGGATTTAGGACGGAATGACGGAACAGGGTAACACTATTCTAGATGTGCATCACTTATTTACATAATTACACTGATAGCTTAATATACAATTTTTATGCTTTTGATGCTTTTGATGCTGAATATAGATAGTAATCAAGTTGAGTAATCAAGAAACATATGTGTTTGAGTAATCGAATACATAAAATACCCTAAATTTGATGGAATTGAGGGTATATTTAGTATACAAATGTATTTACCTTTGAAAAAAGATTGTTTGGTCCAGTAGCAATGCCTCCAATATGATTATGAAAATATATGTTATTTGTGACAACATGCAGTAACCCTGTACAATCTGTATGGACTGCTGATGTCTTGTCCTTGTACCCAGGAGCATTTATAAAACATTTGCTAATGCTCCACGGGTCTGTTGACCAATTTAGAGCTTCGCTATTTTTCCAGTCTGGCGCAGGTGGTGTAGATGCATGATGCTGCACGATATAGTCATAGATGGCGCCACATATGTTGTTCGGACAAGCAATTTTGCCCTTACAGCAACAGTTGCATTTTACTTGCCCAAGAGGACAAACTTTGTTTCCAGCATTCCCAGGTACTGGCTTATGGTCTGGCTTGAGAGTTTCAACTCGACAGCCCCCACAAGTCACAGTTGATGATAGTGACTTTGTAAACCGAATGTTTTGTAAGATATCCTTATGTTGTTGGTCAGCTATGTCATTACAGAATGGTACAAGTCCCTCCTTTAAATATCCAAGTCCTAAACCAGCCTTTACCCACTGTCTATATTTTTCCTTCTCTAAATGAAGTTGATGTGCCATCCTGATACTCTATCAATATCTAAACAAACAAAACACAAAACAATTAATGTTTACATTTTATATAAATAAGTAAACAAGGTCTTGACTTGCAATTTTTTAACTTCAAAATATTGAATAAATATGATATAGCAGCATTCATAAACTACATGTACATAAATTACAGGGACAACAAACTATTACAACCATGATGAGATTTTTTTCAACAGATCATATCTCCAGTTGATAGTAAACTAAGAGAACTACATGTATGTGCTTGATTCATTGTGACCATTATATGAGCAAGATTTTTGCATCCATCTTATACGTATTTTGGTACTAAACTAGCACTACGCGAGTCGGATGTGTCGCCTTGTGAACAATATAGTTTAGGAGATTATGGCCAGGACAAGAAAATTAACAAAGCGCAATAACTCAAACAAGAGGGCCATGATGGCCCTGGATCGCTCACCTGACACAACCGCATCCAAGCAATGTCTAAAACAAGCACCATAGCCAAGATTGATGACAACTGAGTCAAACATGTGACCTATAGTGTGTTATAAAGATTTTTCCATATTTGGGCAATGTGACCTAATTTTTGACCGGACACGACCCATATTGAAACTTGACCTAGAAATCATTAAAACAACCTTCCTGACCAATTTCCAGGAAATTTGGATCAAAACTGCAGCCACTAGAGTGTTAAAAAGATTTTTCTATTTTTAGCTCCTGTGACCTAGTTTTTGACCGGACATGACCAATCTTAGCACTTGACCCAGAAATCATCAAAACAACCTTCCTGACAAATTTCCAGAATATTTGAATCAAAACTGCAGCCACTAGAGTGTAAACAAGCTTTTCTATTTTTAGCTCCTGTGACCTAGTTTTTGACCTGAGATGACCCATCTTCGAACTTGACCAAGAAATCATCAAAACAACTTTCCTGACAAATTTCCAGAATATTTGAATCAATACTGCAGCCACTAGAGTGTTCACAAGCTTTTTCTATTTTTAGCTCCTGTGACCTAGTTTTTGAACAAAGATAACCCATCTTCGAACTTGACCTAGAAATCATCAAAACAACCTTCCTGACAAATTTCCAGAATATTTGGATGAAAACTGCAGCCACTAGAGTGTTAACAAGTTTTTTTCTATTTTTAGCTCCTGTGACATAGTTTTTGACCGGACATGACCCATCTTCAAACTTGATCTAGAATTTATCAAAACAACCTTCCTGACAAATTTCCAGAATATTTGAATTAATACTGCAGCCACTAGAGTGTTTACAAGCTTTTTTTATTTTTAGCTCATGTGACCTAGTTTTTGACCGGACATGACCCATCTTCAAACTTGACCTAGCTATCATCAAAACAACTTTCCTGACAAATTTCAAGAATATTTAGATGAAAACTGCAGCCACTAGAGTGTTAACAAGCTTTTTCTATTTTTAGCTCCTGTGACCTAGTTTTTGACCGGAGATGATCCATCTTCGAACTTGACCTAGATATCATCAAAACAACCTTCCTGACAAATTTCAAGAATATTTGGATGAAAACTGCAGCCACTAGAGTGTTAACAAGCTTTTTCTATTTTTAGCTCATGTGACCTAGTTATTGACCGGACATGACCCATCTTCGAACTTGACCTAGAAATCACCAAAACAACTTTCCTGACAAATTTCCAGAATATTAAGATGAAAACTGCAGCCACTAGACTGTTAACAAGCTTTTTCTATTTTTAGCTCCTGTGACCTAGTTTTTGACCGGATATGACCCATCTTCGAACTTGTCCTAGATATCATTACAACAACCTTCCTGACAAATGTTCAGAATATTTGAATGAAAACTGCAGCCTCTAGAATTTTAACAAGCTTTTTCTATTTTTAGCTCCTGTGACCTAGTTTTTGACCCGAGATAACCCATCTTCGAACTCGACCTGTATTTTATTGAGACAAACATTCTGACAAAGTTTGATGATGATCCAATCAAAACTGTGACTGCTAGACTGTTAACAACCAAATTGTAAGAGTGTTAACAAGCTTTTTCTATTTTTAGCTCCTGTGATCTAGTTTTTGACCGGATATGACCCATCTTCGAACTTGACCTAGATATTATTAAAACAACCTTCCTGACAAATTTCCAGAATATTTGGATGAAAACTGCAGCCTCTAGAGTGTTAACAAGCTTTTTCTATTTTTAGCTCCTGTGACCTAGTTTTTGACCGGACATGACCCATCTTCAAACTTGATCTAGAATTCATCAAAACAACCTTCCTGACAAATTTCCAGAATATTTAAATTAATACTGCAGCCACTAGAGTGTTTACAAGCTTTTTTTTATTTTTAGCTCATGTGACCTAGTTTTTGACCGGACATGACCCATCTTCAAACTTGACCTAGCTATCATCAAAACAACTTTCCTGACAAATTTCCAGAATATTTAGATGAAAACTGCAGCCACTATAGTGTTAACAAGCTTTTTCTATTTTTAGCTCCTGTGACCTAGTTTTTGACCGGAGATTATCCATCTTCGAACTTGACCTAGATATCATCAAAACAACCTTCCTGACAAATTTCAAGAATATTTGGATGAAAACTGCAGCCACTAGAGTGTTAACAAGCTTTTTCTATTTTTAGCTCCTGTGACCTAGTTATTGACCGGACATGACCCATCTTCGAACTTGACCTAGAAATCACCAAAACAACTTTCCTGACAAATTTCCAGAATATTAAGATGAAAACTGCAGCCACTAGACTGTTAACAAGCTTTTTCTATTTTTAGCTCCTGTGACCTAGTTTTTGACCGGATATGACCCATCTTCGAACTTGTCCTAGATATCATTACCACAACCTTCCTGACAAATTTCCAGAATATTTGAATGAAAACTGCAGCCTCTAGAATTTTAACAAGCTTTTTCTATTTTTAGCTCCTGTGACCTAGTTTTTGACCCGAGATAACCCATCTTCGAACTCGATCTGTATTTGATTGAGACAAACATTCTGACAAAGTTTGATGATCATCCAATCAAAACTGTGACTGCTAGACTGTTAACAACCAAATTGTAAGAGTGTTAACAAGCTTTTTCTATTTTTTGCTCCTGTGACCTAGTTTTTGACCGGATATGACCCATCTTCGAACTTGACCTAGATATCATAAAAAACAACCTTCCTGACAAATTTCCAGAATATTTGGATGAAAACTGCAGCCTCTAGAGTGTTAACAAGCTTTTTCTATTTTTAGCTCCTGTGACCTAGTTTTTGACCCGAGATAACCCATCTTCGAACTCGATCTGTATTTCATTCAGACAAACATTCTGACAAAGTTTGATGATGATCCGATTAAAACTGTGACTGCTAGACTGTTAACAACCCAATTGTTGACGACGCACGACGACGGACGCCGGACATAGCCCCATCATTATACCTCACCTTGACCACTTTGTGGTCAAGTGAGCTAAAAATAAGAAGTGCAGAGCAGCTGTTTATTTGCATTGCACTTCTTATCAATAAGATATATCATCCAATGAAGTTTCAAGTCCACAGCTTTTATAATTTATGAGAAATGGCTTGGACAAAAATAAAGTATGAAAATTAATAAAGGTAACAACTCAAAAATAAGAAATGCAGAGTACCGGTTCTTGTACACTGCACTTTTTCTTAATGAGGATTACATGTATCATTCCATGAAGTTTCAAGTCCATAGCCTTTATATTTTCGGAGAAATGGCCTGGACAAAAATAAAGTATGAAAATTAACAAAGGGCAATAACTCAAAAAATAAGAAATGCAGAGTACTGGTTCTTGTGCAATGCACTTCTTCTTAATGAGATCTATCACCCTATGAAGTTTCAAGTCCATGGCTTTTATACATTAGGAGAAATGGCCCGGACAAAAATAAAGTATGAAAATTAACAAAGGGCAATAACTCAATTAAGAAGTGCAGAGTACCAGTTCTTGTGCACTGCAATTCCGCTTAATGAGATCTACCATCCTATGAAGTTTCAAGTCCATAGCTTTCATAGTTGAAGAGAAATGGCCCGGACAAAATTAAAGTATGAAAATTAACAAAGGGCAATAACTCAAAAATTAAGAAGACCAGACTACTTGTTCTTGTTCTTGAAAGAAGCATGCATACCAAGTTTGAAGTCAATCAGACTTATAGTGACTGAGTTATGCTCCGGACAAGCTTTAGGGGACGCCAACGCCGACAACGACGCCAACAATAGCAAAAGTAACCCCTATATGTCGCCTTTTCAAGGCAACACAATAAAAAGATAGTACAAAATGTATGTACCAATTGGAGGGCCATGATGGCCCTGAAAGTGCTCACCTGCATATAAAAATTCTGAATGACAAGGGAGAAGTAATATTGTAAACTATAAACAAAAGCAGATATAAACAAGAGGGCCATGATGGCCCTGAGGTCGCTCACCTGTATATAGGCCCCCTACCCCCCCCCCCAACGTTGCAGGGCCAATTTTAACCCAAGGGCTTTTATTTGCACAAACTTGGTAGACATCCATAAGATGATGTTTCATGCTAAACATCTAAGCTCTAGCTCATTGGGCTTTTTAAAAGAAGATATATAGTTAAAAACAATGACACCCCTGGGGCCGGGCCAGTTTTGACCCCAGGGCTTTTATTTGAACAAACTTTGTAGACACTAACTAGAAGATGTTTCATGCTTAATATCTAAACTCTAGCTATTTGGGTTTTTTCAAAGAAGATTTCAAGTTTTTGCTATACACATATAAGGAAAAGCAATGATCCCCGGGGCGGGACCAATTTTGACCCCAGGGCTTTTATTTGAACAAACTTTGTAGACACTCACTAAAGATGTTTCATGCTTAATATCTTAACTCTAGCTATTTGGGTTTTTTCAAAGAAGATTTTTTAAGTTTTTGCTATACACTTATAAGGAAAAACAATGACCCCCTGGGGCGGGGCCAATTTTGACCCAAGGCTTTTATTTGAACAAACTTGGTAGACACCTATTAGAACATGTTTGATGCTAAATATCTTAGCCATAGCTCTTTGAGTTCTTTAAAAGAATATTTTTTTA